AGGAATGCCTTAACTCAGTTACAGAAACCGGCTAATTACCTAACTAAGATGAGAGATATCAACCCCATCCGGAATCCTGAACGTATCTGTGGCACCAAACTTTCTGAACTCTTCAGCTTCAGCCACTGAGTCGTCGTCATTATCATCACACTCATCTGGGTGAGGTGTGGAGGGGTCGTAAACGCTCTTGGACCTGCAGTCATGCGCTGCAAGAATGTTCACCTGGCCGTGATGTGAGATCTCTACCATGACAGTGTCATCATCGAGTGGAAGCGGTTGTTTCCATGGTTCCCCATCCATTCTCATGAATGTATGGTCGGTAGCACCTTTGTGAAACTCAAAGCGAATGCGGTTTGCCTGATCATGCAGTACAATCAGACTCACAATGCATATACACATTGCCAAACAGCAGTTTCTCCCCTTTTTACCTGCGCGAGGCGTGTTCCATGCCCATTCGGAGCGAGCAGAACAAGCCCATGCCAAGCATTTCTGAACCCAACAACCTCAATGAGGCCATCATCAACATATGGGGGAGTTAAGTCTCTCTGTTGAAAGTCACGACAAAGAAACCTTCATTCATGGCAAAGACAAACTTGAAAAAGCGCAAAAAGAAATGTGGAGAGAATTTAAAACCTACATCACGTTGTTTCTTGGTATTTGGCGTACCCCACGGATCTAATCCTCCAGAAAAGCTGGGCAGATTGAGACATACGATGGACCTGATGCTATAATAACAGAAACTAGATGTCAATATTAGAGTAGATTGTATGATTTATCTTGGGGGTTCGGCGGAAAAGGCATGTAAAAAAATGGTGGTTTTTAGAAACTCATTCACTATGCAACCATGCAAAAGTAAAGGATATTTCACAGAGAAATTTCTCGAGCCCATCCAACACGTCTATCCATGACAGACATAGCATTAATAGTACAATGATCCTCCGGACTTTTATCTGGGATAAATAGACATAAATTTACCTGTGAGGTATGTGGAGATCTTGCCATTGACCATTTTTATTAGCAATCTTAACCTTTGCAAGCTGAGCAATATTCCTGTGGAAAATGTTTCCGATTATATCGTTCAAGAGAGCAAAACCATATACCGAGCGTGCAGAGTGAAGCTGACAACAAAACATATGTTCAAGATGTCCCACACGGGAAACAAATGACTATGAGAATAACAAGATTGTTATGATCTTTTAAGTCTTGCAAACTGTAAAAAGGATCTTTAATGCTTGCAAACAGTACAACAGAAAAGATATGAGCTGTAAAAAAAGGTAGATATACAAGTAGAACTCCTACTGACCTTGAAGCAGGATGAAAAAGTGAGGCACAAAACCATCCTTGTGTGCAACCAAGCTTTACATATGTACTCTGGCATTGCGATAGCAGACAGAGAAGCCGAGGAAAACAATATTTATTCTTCTTTGTTCAGTTTGGATTTCAAAGACGAAACACTAAAGAAGCAAGACATGATCCAGCGAAGCTCAGACGGAAACTAGTTCTTTCATTATTTCAAACATTAGAGCCACAAAAGTATTTACTCATCTAGAAAATGGAAATGTCAAACCACACGCAAGCATTCACAAGAAAGCGTGTGCACAGCAGGAACATCAAGAAAATTCAAGAGATAGGTTACCTGGTTAACCAGCTGATTTTTAAATTTCTCAGGATGCAACTTACGTTCAGAATGAAATGCATAAGATATCTGTGCATCCATTCCTGCATAAGCACAATCAAACTGAATCGTAATTCCAATTTTTGGGTAGATTTCTCCTTGAGACTAGATTATCAAAGAGATCATTGGTGCTACTCAAACTTAGAGAAACACAAAAAGAAAATGGTTATTTCGGTATCTCTTGCTAATAGTAGACAATTGCCATAAAGAGAATAATTGAACTTGATGGCAGTTCCAATAGTTAAGAGTTATGACAATAATTCTCAGTCGTGGTGGTGGTAGAACTTCCTCTATGGCACAAAAAAGGATCTCTACTCAACATGGAAACCTAGCAGCAATCATATTTAGCATGCAGCTTAGGGTAAAGATGAAAATTAGATGGCAACAGAATTCAAAACAAAAGCTCTTACCCATGCTAAAGTAATTCCAGAATCCCCCACGGAATGTGTGGTAACCGTCCTGGGAAACATTGAAACTGCTGATATAAGAAGACATACAAAATATGTGAAAAGGAGTGTAAAACGCCTTACCATATTAAGCTCATCAGTTGGGAAGACACGATGGAATGCATGCAGAGAATGCGGCAGTTCAAGAGGAGCAACAGGATCACAAGAGCCATGTTCAGGAGCCTTCATTCTCATAAGTATATGCCAGCTAAAGGTAATCCAGTTATTATTCTCCAAACTTATACAGTCGAGAAACCCGGGAGATAGAAATACACATACTTGTCTATTTTCATTTCTTTTGCCTTGATAACTTGATCCAAAAATGACTCCACAGACGATTTATCTGTTCCAGGATTTTTTTTGCCCTGAAGACGTGCTGATAGTAAAGACCACGCTAACATGCCCAAATGAAGGATATGCAACCAAGCAAACATAACTCACGAATGGACCTACCCATCCGAACGCAAAGGGAAGGTTGTTTCCGGTGCCCAGAGGGACGGTGGCAATTGGGGGAGGGTGGGATAATTTAAGATCACAAACAACTCCAAGGAGCCACCCAGCAGTTCCATCACCCCCTGCAACCTAAAATACAAGACAAATTTCTTAACAAGAGGACAGGACAATGGAGATGCTTGACAGGGATGGCAGAGCAAACTCACAACTATTTTCAACTTGTCCTGAATCTTGCGAGCGAAAGCGTCATCCTTTAGCCTCTCGAGGTTGAGATAGATTCTGCGCAGCACCTTGTCGGGGGTCTCTTCGCCAAGATCAAACACCTGAAAACCAAACATAGATCGTAGAGAGTAGAATCGGGAGGAAGCCAGAACAAATCCGGGAAGGTACCTGGTCGGGATTGAGAAGAGAACGGTAGGTGAGGATGAGTTCTCCACCCAGCTGACCCCCGCTTTTGGAGTTGATGAAGATGAGGACTGGGCACTCTGGTGAATTCGGCAGCGCCACAGCCTCAGCTTCCGGGGAGAGTACGTAAGAAGGGATGTAGAATTCCTTGAGAAAATCTGGCAAACTATTGTATGTCTCCATGCCCGCATCTGACTGCACATTCAGGCCACAGTGAATCGATGAGACCTTGGGAATTATCAAGCCCATGTTTAGATTGTATGGGATCTACGGAAAGCAGACGGGAAGAGGAAAGCTTACCATTGGAAATCAAAGCGTCGAGGAATCTCGGGAGAGATCCGAAAGAAGGGACTGAATCGGTAGGCGTGATCTGATTCTGATTCGTAGAAACAACGTGTAAAATGATAAATACTTTACCTGGGGAGGAAGGTCCCACCAAATATCACGTGGCAGAGGAGAGGCGGAATTTGCATCTCCGCCGGCGACGACGGGGTTGACCCGGACTCAGTCCTTGGACCCATTCCAATCTCGGCCCAAAAAAGAGAGCCTTTCTTCGAGCAGCCCATTTACTCACACCGTATTTGACTTCGGCCCACCTCACGAACGTGCCTTTCGGCTTTGGTCGCATTTCTTTCTGTTGGTTTTCTTTCAAATCAAACGCGAGGATAAGCGGTTCTTTGAGAAGCTTCGGTTCCTGTCTCTCTGTTGGGCTAAATTAAAAGCTAATTGGGCCCGGCCCACCAATGTCCACCCCGCTGAATCCAATCATGTTTGGCGAGGAGAAGTCAAACAAAAAGCAGGGAGAAAACATGCTTGCCATTATTAAAACATTTGGTCCTTCCTTTTAGGTTAATGCGTGACAAGGAGCAGTTTTATCTTAATAGTTTTTTTTTTTCCTATAATGATAATCGAATCATTGAGCCCTTTTTTCTACCATTTTTAAAATTTTTGGTTAGAAGTGGGTGTGAAAAGGCTTTTCGAAATGGGTCCAAAAAGAAGTTTTTGGTTCCATGCATGAATCATTTCACCTTTTGGAGTTTCAACATGTCTCAAGGCTCCACCTAACGAACAATGAAAAAGCATTTTTGATTGAATGAATAATTTCTTATATGATTGAGGGCCGTGTTTTGTCCTTTAGAAAATGACCTTTTCCCTCTTGTGAGTTACATTCGTAGGCTTCAGCATTCGAGGAGGCACCACTTCCTACATATGTTGAAATCTCTACGCGACACGATGTTTGGATTTGGCCGCAGCTAAGCAAATTTATACAAACTCCACTATTGGAGTACATCTATAAGTATTTGCAAAGAATAAAATAAAATACACACCCTGATTATAGGGGCAGAAACAAATCAGAAGCTGCCAAAACCTCTAGAAAAAGGAATCCACTGTTTCCCCATGGCCTTTTCCCCCCTCTTTTTGCACACTTTGTCCTGATTCTACTGTCCTCCGAAATACCTCTGAGTAAGAGAGAGAGAGAGAGTAAATAATGGAAGTGATGCTTTTTTTCCTTTCACATCTCCATTTCTTGCTTGGAGGTTTGTCTGTGTTTACAACTTGTGTTCCGCTCCCCACCACATGAATTTGATAAAAACACTAATTATAAACATTCACCACTTTCCCCGTTTGTTTCTCTCTAAACCGCTTTCTCGAGGTTTCTCACTCTCACCCTCGGGCCACTCTTGAGAACGAAGATGAGGAAAAATCTCGCCTTTCTTTTCATATCCGTCTGCGTCGTTTTCCCCAGCTCCTTGGGCAACCTACTCGCGCAGCCAGTGCAACCCAACACCGTGCCGGCCTTCCCCGTCCAGAACGAGGCACAAAGCTGCCGGCTTGACCTCTCGGACGAGCTCTTCGGCGGCGTAAATGAAGCATGCGGAAGGAATCTAGATCGGAGCCGATGTTGCCCAGTGCTAGCGGCCTGGCTCTTCGCTGCTCACGCTCGTTCTGCTCTCCAGTTGCCGGCTTCGGCCCCATCTCCGGAACCGGATGAGCCCATGATGCCCGACGACTCGCAGAAGTGCGTGAACTCTCTGCAGAGTGCGCTATTGACGAAACAAGTGAAGATCCCACAGCCGAACTCGAGCTGCGACGCTATCTTGTGCTTCTGCGGGATTCGGCTCCACCAGATAAGCTCCCTCAGTTGCCCCGCCGCTTTCAATCACAATGCGACTCCCACCGCCGCCGTCAAGAACCTGGAGAAGGAATGTCGAAACTCCTCCTACGCTGGTTGTACCAGATGCCTCGGCGCCCTTCAAAAGGTCACCTTCTGTCCCCCTCTTTTCTTAATTTAATCCCACCAGCCTCGGACCATAATAAATGCCACCTCTTTCATTCGCGTGATCCAAGGGGTAATTGCATTCTTGGGTTTTTTTTTTTGCTGGGTGTTAGTGGGTGAAGGTATGAATCCCTCAGTGTTGCAGCTAAGCGTTTTCTGGTCCAATGGCGGAAAGCGAGTTTGAAAAAGACATTAAAACCCCATGTGAGCTGTGTCCTTTTACGTAGCAAACAATTGGGCTGTTGCATAGGATATGCCTTTTCAGAATCTTTCCTCTTTCAGTTGGACTAATATACCCCTGTGCATGTGCAGGTGAAGGGAGGATACAAGAAGGGAGGAAGCGGAGAGACGGAGAGAGGGAGGAAGATGATGAGCAGGGATTGTCAGCTCATGGGGCTGACGTGGCTGCTGGCTCGCAACAAGACGGCCTACATCCCCACCGTGTCAGCGGTGCTGAGAGCCGTCATGTACAGTGCGCATCCCCACTCCAGTTGCAGCCCCGACCAGGAGAACATGCCTCTGGCCGTTGACTCTCTCCACCTCCACTCCAGCCTCTCCTCCCCTCTTTTCCCTTTTCCGCTTTTACCCCTACTCCTCTCCCTCTCTTTCTTCCTCTGATCTTGTGCGGGTTCACGTGACAAATCAAAAGGGGAGGGGTCCACTCTCCTTCTTGTAGATGCTTTCCGTCCCATTTTAGCCCCAAAGTCCAAGAGCCTTGACCAAGTAGTATTATTTATTTTGGTGTTTAAAAAAAAGAGCTAGTTTCGTCCCATGAGCATGTTGGTCGTCTCTCTTCTCCCAAAGTCGATCAATTATAAATTAAATATTACCCATTCACCGGAGTCTTGAATTGGGCCGAAGCCCAGTGCACCATTATGGCGGGGGGCCA